TTATCTACCACATGGTCAACTCCTACTAAGTGCCTGCCACACACTGAGACAGACTGGGATTGATGGGTTACTGAAAGGACTGTGTCTGTGTACTAGATGCTGATAGAAAACAGCCACATGCTCAACTATCACTTGGCAGACAGTTGTAAGAACTCCAAAGGAAAATTGCTGGCTATATGAGAAAGAAAGCAGGGAAACTTAATTTAGACTAGATGGGTCAGAGAAGGCCTCTGTGGGAATGTGGTATTTAAGCTGAGACTTGAAGGATGGGTAAGAAATTAGGGGAAGAATGTTCCAGAACTGTGCTGTCCAAAAGAACTTTCTGTGATGATGGAAACATTCTGTATTGTGTTGTCTAATATGATGGTCACACGTGACTACTGACAACATGAACTGTGTCTAGTGTGACTGGAGCTAAGTTTTCAATTTTATTTAATGATAATTTAATGTGTGTGTGTATATGTATATATACTGTGTTTGTGCATGTTGTGTGGGTGTGGATGCATATGTGCACAGTGCACATGTAGAGGTGGGAGGATACCTCCAGTACTGGCCCACAGACACCTCTACCTTTTGTTTGAGGCAGTGTCTCTCCTTGACTTGGAATATTGCCACAAGATCAAGCTGGCTGGCCGACAGCTTCCATGGATCTGCCTGTCTCTACCTCCCATCTTGCCATCAATAGATGCGTACTTTTTATGTGGATTTTGAGGATCCAAACTCAGACCCTCACACCAACAGAGCCACCTCTTTAGCCTGTATTGAATATATTTTAAAAGCCATACCACGTGTATCAGAACATTAGACAAAGGACTTGATACCAAAAGGAGGTTGGCATTTTCCAGAAGTGTGGTAAGATAAGAGGGAAAATGAGGCAGAGTAAGGTCTGAAAGGGAGCAGGGATGAGTGTGCAAAAGTGCTTCAACAGGGTTCAGAGTACATAGGTACTTAAGGGAACAGAGCTGAGTACACAGACACTTGAGGGAGCAGGACTTAAGTATGTAGATGTTCAGGGAGCAGAGCTGAGTATACAGACATTTGAGAGAGCAGAGCTCAAAGAACATAGGCACTGAAGGGAGTAGGGCTGATGTAGGCCCTTGAGAAAGCAAGGCTCAAAGTGTGCAGATGCTCAAGCGAGCAGGACTTCTCGGCTGCACTGGCCACACATTTATATACACAAAGACTACATGAAGCGAATGACTGCAGTTATTGCATAGTGTAGCTTTTAGAGAACATCCCCACCATCACAGGAAACTTCTATAGGCTAGTGCTGAAGTCACTTGGGAAAGTATTTAAAATGGATCTAGAAGAGGCCATCAAGTCCAAGGCCCTGCCTGTAGAGGTCATTGCCAGCAAGTGTCACTAGGGATGGTAGCCTCCTCCATATACATAGAAGCATTGTTGAGGAAATGCCAGCTTTTTGAGGGGCTTTGTGCCTAGAGAGAAAGGCACCCCTCCAAGCTTTTATCCAAGAGTTGAGAAGGGAGCAGAGATAAAGTGCCTGTGGATTGAGTAATGACATCTGTCAGCTGGCTAAACTAAGGAGTTACTGGTAGCAACCAAGTCAAGAAAGGCTCCTGGAAGGCCCAGGCCTGACTCAGGCCATCCAATAATTCAGGGCAACCAGAAGGAAGGAGTTAGACTTGCCTAGGAGACTGAGGCACACTTCTGGGTGCATTGGTGAGGGCTCTTCAGAGAGGACTAACCGAAGAGGAAAGACCCTCCGCCCTCAATCAGCATCTTTCCATGGGCTGGAGGTGCTGACTGGATAAAAGAGGGAAAACCAGTGGAGCAGTGGCATACTCCTCATTCTGTTTCCTGGTCCACTATGATGTGGACAGAGTTACTGTGCCACACTCTCCCCACCAGGCTGAACTGAACCCTTTGAATCCATGAGCAAAAATATGAGCCTTTCCTCTTTTAAGTTGTTTCCGTCAGATATTTTGGTGACAGTAATGAAAAGCTAATACAAAGGGTAAAATATAAACATCAAAATGTACACAACTACTTTGATTGTTTCAAGCCACCATGGAAACGTACAGAAGGTACCCTCAGCTCCTTCTGTAGAAAAGAATTCATCACACAGGGAGCCTCACCTGGCTTCTCCAAAGACATACTAAAGAAAGGAATTCTAAAGAAGTATTGTTGGTTTATGCTTTACACACGAGGGTAGACTCTAGAAGAAAAAATTTTTAAAAAAAGTGAGGTAGCAAAACCTCATGACTGACCCAGTAATTCTGTAAGAAATAAAGCAAGTTCACAGGGGCCGACGAGGAGAAAACATTGGCCTTTTTTTCCACACCTGCGAACTTCTGGTTATAGCCAGGGTTAGGCTTCACATGAGCAAATGCAGAAAGGAGAGGAGGGACAGCTGGTGGAGCAGGCAGAGGAGGAAAGGATCAGACCATGGAAGGAGGACGTGTGTTTAGTGATATACCAGCACCCTGTCTTGCTAAACCCAGGACAGACCTCACTATGTGACAATGGGTTTATCTTTACTACCCCTTTCTCTAGCTTAGGCTGCTCAGGACTGGAAGATTCATTCAGCTGTAGGCCTGTAGGAGTCATGTGATTCTACCTCCACAGGGAGCCACGGTACCATGGCTATCTTACAGTATTTCCTGTTGCCTTGCGCCTTCTTGGAATGTGGACAGATGAGATATGACTATGACATGCCACAATGACATCCCCTAGTCAATGCAGTCAATGCTTGGGTTTATATTTCTCACACTGAAATTGTCATTACATTTGAATAGGACTATAAGGAAGGATACCTTTAGTTGGGGGCCTTTCAACTGCAAATATCATGTTCTTACCCTTAACACCATCATCCTTCCTCATTGACATCTTTCATACCTCAAAGATATTTCATTTATTTATTTTAGGTTTATTTATTTATTTTAAGACGGGATCTTCCTGTAGCTCCAGCTGGCCTAGAACTTGCTATATAGATCAAGCTGGCCTTGATCTCACAGAGATTAAAGGCATGCACTACCACACCTGGCTTAGATATTTCTGTTTTTAATGAGAAACCTTACCTTGCAGTGATTTCATGATGTGTGCACCAATCCTGTTTGCTGGATAAGGACATAGGCAAAGAGAGGTATAGCCCTCACTGGGTGGGTGAGGAGCTGAGTCAGAGCAGAAATCCAAATGAACTGACTCAAATCTCTGTGCTCGTCTCAGATCCAGACAGCTGACCAGAAAAACAGGTGGTTGCCTGCACTGCCAGCTCTAGCTAGAAGGTCAAGCTGTGTGACCTTTGCTGAACCTTCAGCCATTTCATTGGCTGCTGCCAGTGGATGGCGCCTGTGCTGATTAGTTTTAATACTCAACTTGACACAATTTAGAATTACCTGGGAATCTCAGTGAGGTACTGTCTAGATCAGGCTAACTTGTAAGCATATCTGGGAATTGTCTTGATTACTAATGTTAATCGCTGTGTGAAGACTCAGCCTACTGTGGGTAGCACCAGTCCCTATGCAGGGGATCCTGGGCTATATAAATCTAAAGCACAAATAGTTATATGTGCATTATTTTCTCTCTGCTCTTGACTGTGGATGTAACTAGTTGCTTCAAGTTCTTGCCTTGATTTCATTGCTATGATGACCTGTAACTTGGAGTTGTGAGCTAAAATAAACCCCTTTCCCCCTAAGTTGCCTTTTGGTTTTGCTTTGTTCTATTTTGTTTTTCTGAGACAGGGTCTCCCTGTAGCTCTAGCTGGCTTGGACCTTGCTATGTAAACCAGGCTGGCCTTGATCTCACAAAGGTCTGCCTGCTTCTGCCTCCTGAGTGTTGGGATTAAAGGTGTGTGCCACCATACCCAGCTTCCCCAAGTTGCTTTTTATCCAAGTATTTCTTCATAGCAACAGAAAAGAAGCTAGGGCAGAGTTTCAAGTACCACAGGGCTTGGTCCTAGTTTCACCAAGTCAAGATATAGGGAAAATGTATTGTTTTTGGTGCATATTCAGGACACAGGCTGCTGGGCACTATATTAAGGGCTTCATGAGCATTATATAATTAAATGTCAAAACCATTCTATAGGACAATTATCATCTCTGATTTATCACTGCTGAAATGAGGGTCAAGAAAGTTACAGTAAACATAATACAGAAATCATGCTTTTGACATTTGAGCAAATGAGATGATGTCTTAGTTCCACCCAAAAACCTGAACAAGGATGTTTATAGAAGCTTTGTGTAACTTAGCAGCAATTTCATAACTTGGCAACAAACCAAGATGCCCTTCAGTAAGTGAATGGATAAAGAAACTGTGATACATATAGACAATAGAATATTACCCAGCACTGTAAAGAAATGAGCTATGGATCCATAAAAGACATGGAAAAACCTTAATGCATGTTACTGATGGATGAAGTTCCTTGAAAAGACTACATATGGTATATAATTCCAGTCATGTGACTTTCTTGGAAAGGCAAAATTGTTGAATTGTTGAGGCAACATGGAGACCACTGGCTGGCAGACCCAGAGGCAGCAAGGGATGAACAGGTGAAACAAGGAGGATTTTTAGGGCAAGAAAGCTACTCTGTTACACTGCAATGTTGGTTGTATGTCATTAGAGATTTAACAAAACTCATGGAACACCAAGAGTGAGCCCCAGTATAAAGTATATACTTTGACAGAAAATGGTGTGTAGCTTTAAGCACATCAGTTGTAACAAATGAGCTGCTCTACTGTGGAATACTGACAGAAGGGAAGACTACATGAGTGGAGGCTGGGCTTTCCTGCATCTGCTTGGGGCTGTTCAGGGCACAGGATACAGACTTTACCCCTGTGCTAACCAGCCATTGCATGCAGGTTGTCCTGGGAAGAGACTATGGCTTTGGAGAAGACAACTCTCTTCTAGTAAAGCTATTCTAAAGGGGCTAGCACCTAGCCACAACTGCAGCAGCTAGAATGAGTCCTTCAGTCTTGTGGGGAGGACTCTCTGCAAGTGGCTCCTCCCCATGAGTGCTTCATTTCTCATTTACAGTCGGAATTCAGTACACGGTATCAAGAAACACCCTCATGAATTATCCAAAGGCAAACCTCATCCTCCTGACCCTCACTAAGTGGCAGCTCTACCACCTCCTCCTGGTCATGGCTGATGACCTCTGCCAGGATGGTGAGTCACTTCTTGCTTTCTGGCTCCCTGGCACAAGAACCCAAAGTATCCAAGTGACAGTCATAGCTCGTACTACAATGAAATTCTTCCCTGTGATCCCCAGGGAATTTTTTTTTTGAGACAGGGTTTCACTGGGTAGCCCCAAGATAGCCTAGAACTCCTTACCTCTGCTTCCAGAGTGCTGGGATTAAAGGTGTATGTCACCACACCTAGTTACCCAGAGTTGCAGAGGTGGCACACAGAACTCTCCTGAAGGGTGGGGTCTTACTGCTTTCCACCCATGCATTTTATCCTGGGGACACCATTCTTCTTCAAAGCAACACCTGGGAGAGAAAGATAAGGCATACTCAGAAGTAAAGTGATGACAGCTTCAACTAATGTCATTTTCTTTTTACTTTGGATGTTTTGAGAGCACCTTCTCTGGGAGAACAAAGAATTATTCTAAGCAGTACTCTGAAGTTGTCTTAGGAAAGGAACCCCGGGGTGTCCTCCTTGTTCAGGGAATGTTTAGTTATAACTTCTATGGAGAACTTTTTCAGTGTGCTCTCTCTCTGTCTCTGTCTCTCTGTCTCTGTCTCTCTCTGTCTCTGTCTCTCTCTTTCTCTCTCTCTCTCTCTCTCTCTCTCTCTCTCTCTCTCTCTCTCTCTCACACACACACACACACACACTTATATCCCCCTCTCCCATAGCCTGCACCATAGGTCTGAAACTTTCTGTGCTCACTAATCCTACTCCAGGGTCCCCTCTTCCCTAGGCAAGCCCAGGCTATTTCTTGGGGTGCTGCAAAGTCAGGAAAAGTCTGGCAGGTGAAGTTGTGAGGGAGCTTTTGGAGAAGGCAATGCAGCCTGATTTCTGACTTGGTGATAACAGCAGGCCCTTCTCGGCTCTTTGAAACCACGTCTCACCTACAAGGAGAAACAGTGGGCCTTGGATGGGTTTCATGCTCCATAAACAGTACCAGACCTCCTCTATGATTTTCTTACGAGGACTTCCAGGTTGTGAAGATACCTCTGCTTCCAGTGCCTTCTTACCAAGGTTGGTGGCAGAGATGTTCTAGGCCCTCTGGGACTGACCATAGCCTCAGCCTTCTGTCAGAGGGAGCTATTCTCTCTTGTCTCGGGCTGATGTGTGTATGGGGGAGGGGGCTATGAGTGAGGTACCTTCAAGGGCATTGTTGTTTATGAAACCTGAAACAGGATGGGGTTACAGGGGATCTATGGTTATTTTTTTCTTTTCCGGGACAATCAGCTGGGCAGGAATTCCAGGCTGTGTATATTTACTGAAGATTGCAGGGGGTCTTGAGAAAGCAAAGTGACATGCTGACCTCCATTCTGAGGAGCGCTGGACACAGAAAGACTTCTCCTTCCCGCCCCTCCCAGCCTGTTGCCCTAGCCCAGGATGCTGACCCAGAGTGATGGCCAAGCTGCACCTGGAACAGGGGACCTCAGTAGCAGAGCCTCTCACAAACTCTGGGCTGTCACCCTACTTGGGCAAGACTTTCCAGACTGTCTCTTGAGAACAACTGAATTTTTCCAGGTGTGTCCAACCTGCCACCCCAGGCTGTGCAAACCCTAGGATAGCTATGAATGGGGCCCAACACGAAATCATAAAAGGACTTAAAACACTGAGTTTTTAATTTTTATTTTTATTTGTAACTTGGTTTCACAGCTGTAGAGTGAGAGTTTTGCAAGTGACAACATTGTGCCACAATGTTAACAGGTTGGGCATGCCGGCACTCTGGTTGCATGGGAAGGGACTAAGAGACAAGGACTAAGAGTAGAGTCCCTGCTCTTAGGAATACCTAAGGAGTACTGAGTAAGTGCTATTTGGAGTTATTCATAGCCTACTGTTGACTGTGTATGCGCTTTTCTCTGCAGCCCAACCACAGTGTAACCACAGTTGCCTGCCCAACCTTGAGCTCTCCCTGGCTGCATGGTGGCCCTGAAGAAATGTCAGCGAGCTGGAGCTGTCGTGTGGGTCCTAGAAGGAGACTTGCATGTGACCGACCACCATCTCCCTCCCTGCTGGCCCCAGACCTTCTGGATACTTTTGTAGATGGCTTACCAATCCTGGCGCAGACAAGATCTCTGCTTGCACAATAATCCTGCTTTTGGCCGGCAGGTGTGAAAAGCGCTGAAAGCAGACATCATAGTCTGCTGACTTAATTACTGCTCTGTAGAGCAGCTGGTTTGGGTCTGGAAAGCTCCTAATGGAGGGTCTGTCAATGGAACAAGAGCAGGCATCGTGAGCTTTAAACAGGGAGATGTCAAGCCATAGCCGACAGTAGCCAGCCAGTTGGGCAGAGTGCCCCAGCACTGGCTCCTTTTTCCCTCCTGTCTCCAGGGTGGGGCCTGGGACTCAGATAACCTCTGTGACTGGCCAGGAGGAGTCTGATGCCAGGATGGGGTAGGACAAGGCAGGGCCCCCAAGAGGAAGCAGAGCCATGCATGGGTTTGACTGTAAGGTATGTGTCTCTCTCTCTCTCTCTCTCTTTTTTTTTTTTTCATTTATTTCATTCAACAAACGTTAAGAATCAACTTTGCTCACCAAACACTTCTCTTCCTAAAAGTCACAATGATGAATCAGTCAAATGCCTTGTTCTTTGTAGATCTTTGCTTCTGCATTGCTTAGTTGGGACTAGGACCTGGCCCTGAGTTTATGGAGTTTATGAAGACTTAGTAGACACAGTGGCTACAGAAACATCATGTAGGATTTCCAATCAGGTCTAAGACAGACCCGGGGATGGTCCTGGAGATCCCAGTGAAAATCTGCTTTAGAGCCAGCTCCTCTGTCCATGTCACTTGCTGGGTCTGGACAGAAGGACTAGTATGTGGATCGATCCTTCCTTCCTTCCTTCCTTCCTTCCTCCCTCCCTCCCTCCCTCCCTTCTTTCTTCTTTCTTTCTTTCTCTCTGGCTTTTTGCTATTCTAACATTCCCTTTAGGGGGATTTTTATAGGTGGTTTAGTCCTGGGTAAAACAAACAAACAAACAAAAAACCTTTAAGATCCATTCCAGTAGTGGGTGGTAGCCTTTTTATTTCCTGTTTGTTCAGCATTTTGGTAGATCAGACTGGGACAAAGGGAGCCGAATAAATGTGTTCTCTCAAGAAATCCATGCTGTCTTTGAAGATTCAAGGTACACAAACTTGGCTGGAGTTATAACATGTTAGATTAGATTAGCAAAGACTAAAACATATCAGAAGAACATGAAATTAATGTTCAAGTGAGTGAAAGAGTTGGTGAAATCATTGGAGTCAGAAAAGACCCCAAATATCATGGCACTAGTGTCAGAGCCCCCAGGATTGGGTAAGAAAGGAGACAAGAGGGAGTCTGGGGAGATAACTCAGTCAGTAAAGTGCCTTGCTTTGTAAGCATGAGTTCAATTCCCAGAACCTATGTAAATAAAAAGACAGGCACAGTGATGTGTGCTTGCAATCCAGGGCTGGGGAAGCAGAGACAGGAGGAGTCCTGAGGCATGTTGACCAGCCAGTCCAGCCTCCTTGGCAAGTTTCCTACTAATGAGAGACTCTTAGAAAAAGAAAACAAATACTGGATGATGCCTGAAAAATAACACCTGTTATTCTCTTACCTCCACATGCATGTATACATGTGTACATGCCATGTACACACATACACATATATACACAAAAAGAAAGGAGAGGAGCTAAGGATGGGGAGGGGAGAGAAGGGGGATTTGGGAATTCAATCTAAATTCCACATTTACTTGCTATGTGACATGGACAACTTTGCTAAATTGTCTACACTTTTATTTCCTCCTTTGTATCATGGAGATGGCTATAAATCTTTCAAACTTTGGTTATTATAAATACTAGAACCTCTTCCTCCTCTTCCTCTTCCTCCTCTTCCTCCTCCTCTTCTTTCTTCTCTTGGTAGCCGTAGTACTAAAAATTAAGCTGTTGAGTATCAGCTTTCATTGACTACACAATGCCTGTTAACATGGCTGGGCACTTTATAGCCTGGCTCAAAACTGTATGCTCAGTAGCAGTGTGTAAATCAGAAGGAAAACAACAGCCATGTAACCAGGCAAAGCCCCCCATGAAAAATCCCTTTACCTATGGCAACATGTGGAAACTCTTTCCCACTCAGCTCCCCCCAACCCCATGACTCTTTTAAGCCATGTCCTCCATCTAGCAGTGGAGAACAGAAGCTAGCCTGCTCTTGGAACCTCAAGTCAGAGATGTTTGTTATGGAGAGAACTTGCTTTATCTTTTCTTAAGATATCTTGGCTTGTATAACACACAACACCACTCCAACTAGATTCCTGTGGAGAGTGATTGTCCTGGTATCTTGGTTTCCATGGCATTGCTCAGTCTCAACAGGTCACACAGATACCAAAACCACATGAGTCCTACATATCTGTCAGTGGAGAGGTGAAGGGGAAATGAAAATCAAAAGGTTACCCATAGTAGACACACAAGGAAAGAGAGGGCTGCACCAGATCTGACACAAGCAAAAGTGGAGATATTTCCAGAATGGAGTTAGCACTAGCGCCCTCTCCACAAGGAGGAGCACAGGAGAAGCACTTATCTCCCATGGTAAACATTCCCAGCCCAATTTGAAGCTACCATTGTAACTGGGGCAAGTAAGGGGCAGCAAGCCGCTGGCAGGAAGAAAGGGTGTGCTACACGATCATTATGAGCATCCAAGAGAATACGGGTTCGGAGGATGCTGCCTCTCATTAAGGCTGGGGCCAGGGAGAGCAACCCTACCGCATACTGTAGCCAAAGAGAACAGCCTGGCTGAGGAAAAGGCCCACCTCCTGGCAGTTAGGATTTAGAGGGAAGATTGGAATACCAGACTGAGATCTCATCTCTAGTCACCGATGTCACTAAACATGGTGGAGAGAGCAAACATCATGACTGTGATAATGGAAAATGTGTGGCAGGTGATAGTGGGTGCTTAAAAGAAGAGGAAGGAGTCAGGGAGACTCAAGAATAATAGTGAAGGGACAGACCTTGATGGTGTCTTTATTTTTGTTTTGTTTAAATTTGTCTAACATTTTTTAAGTTTCACATAAAATTCGAGGTGACATTCATCTGACAAAATTAATCGGTTCCAAGTGAACAGTTCAAAGGCTTTTAGAATGTCCATTGTGCTGGGCAACCATCACATCTATTCCATTCCAAAACATCTCCACCATACAGTAAAACTTCTGACGTTACAGTGTCTCCCTGATCACATCTCCCTCCAGCCTCTGGTAGCCACCAATTTGACTTTTATTTTTATGGGTTTATTCTATAGCTAGTACATAAATGGACTCATACAATATGTACAACTTTTTGTGTCTGGCTTCTTCAGCATATCATGATATTACCGAGTGTGCATTATAGTACATATCAGTACTCCATTCCCTTTCATGGCTGAATGATATTTCATTGTGTGGATATACCACATTTTGTTTAGCAGTTCTCTGTTGATGGGCAATTGATCTATTTCTACCTTTTGGCTATTGTAAATAGCCAGTATGAACACATATATAATATGTGTCCTGATAACATCTTGATTTTTTGGGGGGGGGTCTCTCTATAGACCCAGCTGGCCTGGAACTCACTTTGTAGACCAGGCTGTCCTTGCTCTCACAGAGATCTTCCTGCTTCTGCATCCAGAGTGCTGGAATTAAAGGAGTATGCCACCATGCCTGGCTAATATATCCTGGTAACCATCTTAAAGGTCAATTTAAATGTCCTTGTGTGTCCCTGCATGGGTGCGGTGGCAAGCCAAACTTTCTAAAATATATTTAAACAATCAGGGTCCCAGTTTTAGTTACTGGTGAGCCATGAACCTCCATAGGCACCAGAGACTAATGACTGGATAGCCCCCAGCCCAGGGAACTCACTGCATCTCTGCTCAAGCACCTGAAAGGCAGTGTGGTCTAGTGGTGAGCCTTCTGGGTTGGAGTCAGAAAACAGCCCTGAGTTTAAGTGACTGTGCTATTGCTCTATGGATGCAGAGCAGTTCTGTACACCTTACCTTCCTCATATCTCTGAAGGGGCTGTGATGGCTGCTTGCCTCCCTTGCAGAGCTGTGAAATGGCCGAGGACCTGTCACATGTATGAGTGTTTCTCAAACAGCCACCAGATCACACATCTGTGCTGTGACTATTCTTCCTGTTAGAAGTCACACAGGTGGTGCTTCTGACTCTGACTCATGGCAATAGTCTTTTTTTATTAGTCACCTGGTGTTTGGTGACTTATTTGCAAGTGTTAGAAAATAGAAATTTGTCAGAAGGCTACTGGGGAGGTCACAGAATTGAGGAGATAAGTAATTGGTCCAGAAGGGACAGAGACCAGACAAGGTCTGGGTAGAGGCAGGGCTGACTGCTGGGATCAATTTTTCTATTTTTTGTCACTCCACCAAAGCTCAAAATTCCAGAAGAGGGGCTGAGGGGTGGGATGGCTTAACTAGCAGAGGGTGAGAAGTCTTGACTGATAGTTTCACCAAGCTGCATACTGGGGAAGAGATGATTGCCTGATGATAAACTGAAATCAGGGAGCTACCTTAAGAAGGATGTGTTTACTAGGAGGTCTCCAGTCCACTGGAGATTTACTTTATTTTCTGTGTATGAGTACATTGCCTGCATGTATGTGAGTGCACCTGTGTCATGCAATGCCTCGGAGGTCAGAAGAGGGCTTCGGGTTCCCCTGGAACTGGAGTTAAGGACTCCAGTTGGGTACTGGGAATCAAATCCGGGTCCTCTGCAAGAGCAGTCAGTGCCCTGAGATGTGCTCTTTTAACCCCCTTTCAAAGCAAACACAGGCTGGTACTCTGAGTTTACAGCTCTGGGACAACCCAATGATCAGAACACAAGTTCGAGTGACTAGGGGCTTGGGAGGAAGCGTGAAGGCTGACACCTATATGATATTGTAAGATGCTCTTCTTCAACACCATACACCATACTTTAGGTCCAGCAGCTCAGGCCTCAGAAGTCTGAACCTAACTACATCTAGCAACTAAAAATACCCGGGCCCCAAGGATCCAGCAGAGAGCTTTTCCAAAACTAGTCAAATTTCTCAATGTAGGAAATTATTCATCACACAGTGTAAAAGCTGTCTTTGCACTTTAAAAATAAATAAATGTGAACCAGGGCCCACCCAGCCTCTGTGTCTTTAACTCTTTATCTCGGAAATAGTTGGTAACCCCCACTGTCCATGCCCCGCAACAGAGGTTGCCCTGCTCCCTGGAAAACAGGAATTTCTTATCTGATCAACAGGAAATTCTATTTTTGCTTGATGTTCAAATTAAAAATATCACACACAGAGAGAAGCTCTCCTGTAGCTAAAAGCCACACACTAAATTTATCCCCCAGCGAGAAGCTCTGCTCCCAAACTATTGCTCCCAGGATTTCCTCCCTCTGAGACTGGCCCCTAATGGAAGGGGAGACAAACACTTTGACACCCCACCTTTGTTTCTTAACCCGGTAGCAGTGCAGCTAAGCTCATGAAGGGAGCTAAAGGTGATACCATGTGGGAGTCAGGGCTGGGTTTGGAAAGACAAACCAGCAGCATTTTAATGCTCACTACAGCACTGACCAAAATGGGCCCTTACACTAAGCGATTGAGAGAAAGTGAAGGCAGCTTATTGAGACCTGATAGTAGGCCACATACTGACTAGTCTGAGCCAAGTCACCATGTCTTTATGGTAGATACCCAGGGAAGTTATTACCAACATCTTCAGCCTCTTCCTGAATCTATAGAGAAGAATGCAAAGGTGGCTCAATGTTGGAAGCCAGGGTGACC